TTTATTTCCATGAGTGTTATGGTGTTGGCACAGTGCCAAATATTAATTTAGACGGCCACCAGAGCGCCACCTAGTTTTGGATTGGTTTGTCCTTCATCAGATATCCTCAGGAGGGCATTGACAATAATTATACCAAGTTTCATGTTAATCCACCCAACCGATGTTGAGATATAAAATACTTCAATTTAAAGAGCGCCACCTGGTGGTTATTGCCTGACATTTTGCACAGAGCCTCAGGGGCTCATGGGGACGTAGTAAACTGAGTTTCATGTCATTCGGATACACCAATAAGGAGATATGCAGCACTTCCTGTTTACAATGAAATCTGCAGGAAGTTGTTATTTAATAACTTGAGTATTGTTTGGAATATCAAAATTCTTTTAATAACTTTTTGTCAGGAGGGTCCACAGATGCTGTGTGAAATTCCCTGGGAGGAGTTCGAAAAAGTAGGTTTGCGACATTTTGTGAATTTGCAAAAAAAAAAAAGGTAGGCGGAAATGGGCGTGGCCTATATCACAAGATTCAGCACAATTCACTGAACGCGTGGATATAAGGTTTTTGAATGTGCGACAAAGTATGTGGGAGTTATGAGCCAAAAGGCACTTGATTTTAAACTCCTTGATTATAGCCCCACCTAGTGGTGGAAATTCAGGACGACAATATCTTATAAAATTTTTCGCCAGGTGTGACTTATATTCCAAGTTTCATGAGTTTTGGGGTATGTTCAGGCAGTGAAAAATGCGATCCTTTTTGACAAAGAAAAAAAAAATAACTAGAACTGCAAGCAGTTATGAACGGGGGCCAAGCCCCCCCATGTGACGGAAGTTGTCCCTGAAGGACGACAGGCTCTGGTTGAGCGCATGTTTATGAATGTGTCATTTAAAATGTGGAAGTTTTGCGACCGATTTGCGACGAATTTGGCACAAAGCCTCTGGATAATCTCGGAAATGAGTGACTTAAGTTTGATGTTGAAAGCATCTACTATATGAAACAATGTATGTTTTTTAGCTAGCAAAAAAGATTGTTTGGTTGTAACAAGCGCATTTTTTGGAGTGCCAAAATTCTTTTGATAACTTTTCATCAGACACATCTGGAGATTCTATGTGCAAAGTTTCAGGCAGGTGGCACTTAAAATGTAGTAGGAGTTCGAAAAAGTAGGTTTTGGACATGTGGCGAATTAGCAAAGAGAATGTACAGCAGAAGTGGGCGGGGCCTGTGTCAGAAAACCCAGCTCTATCCAGGGAACACATGGATATAATGTTTGTGAAAGTGCCATTTAAAATGTGTAAGTTGCAGGCAAAAACGCATTTGCATCCTTTATAGCGCCACCTAGTGGAGTACATATGCAATTTTTGGTACGGAAGATCTGTGTCCTATTCTATATGTACCCTTAAAATTTCAAAGCCCTCAGCATAATAGTTTGGCTGAAATTAATGTTTGTTGTTTATCTTGTAATAAGCCACGCCCACATTGACCAGTCATGACCACCTTCAAGATATGACCTCAGAATTGGCCCTACATCATACCAACCCAATTTCATAGAAATCGGTGCAGCCGTTCAAGAGATATACACTTACCATATTTGTAGCGCCCCCTAGTTTCCAAAATTCGCCAAATTCGGCTCATACCCTCACAGTCTTATGCCAACCAATGATCTCAAATTTGGTGTTAATAGCATTTAGTTTGACTGAGATATCCAACAGTTTGCATTTTTATAGCTAGCTATAGAAGTTTGTTTGTTAATAATTTGCGCATTTTTTGACCGAATAAAATTCTTTTGATAACTTTAGATCAGGTCCAGTGGAAGAGTGTATATGTCAAGTTTCACGCAGACTGGACAAAATCCCAAGGAGAAGTTTGAAAAAGTAGGTTTTCCAGTTTTCGCGATTTTGCAAAAAAACTTCCTGGCGCAAGTGGGCGTGGCCTATGGCAAAGTGATTCAGCTCTATTCAGGGAAACTGGGGATACAAGATTTTTGAATGTGCGACATAGGCAAAAATGCATTGGCCTAGGTTATAGCGCCCCCTGCAGGCAGATGTACATAGTTTTTTGCATCTGAGGTACGTGCAAGAGTCTGGACCACCCTTCCAAATTGCACCTCCCTCCCTTGCACGGTTTAGCCTGCAGCACCACTTTTACCTACGGAAGAATAAAAATAAAAATCTTTACAAAAACAATAGGGTTCCTAGCACCACTGGTCCTAGGAAACGCGTCTGCTTGCATGCGCATTCCCTCAGCCCCTCGGGCTTGGCCCCCTAATAAATAGCGCGATTACAATAGGGTCCTCACGGACGACTTCGTCGTCACTCGTGCCCTAATAATAATCATTCGAAAAACAATAGGGACCTCGCAGGTCTGTGACCTGCTCGGGCCCTAATAATAAAGCAGGACAAAAGGGTTTCAGCCAGGGGCGATTGCTCTGAGACAACAAGGGAGGCTGAACTTCCCCTAAAATTTCTTAGAAGAAATGGTCAAATATGCACTATTGAATTTACATTAAAATAAGAATTTACATTGCATTAAATGTGTGCTAGGATCAGCTGTTTATCACCAGTTTTCAAACACGACCTCCCTGTCATACATTCTCCTGTCAGCCTGCTGGACCCAGAGCTTCCAAGCATTCCTATGAGACAGCGCTGAGCAGTTTTTTTCATGCAGCAAAGTGAGATGGTCATTGGATAAATGCGACAAAATCGTCACTTCCAGGGAGGCTCAGCTTCCCTGGGACCTAATGGAGTGGTAGGCGGGAGAGGACACTCAGTGCATGCATGCTGATTGGAGGAATTGTCTAAAAGGCGGAACCGCTTTGTGATTGACAGCGCTTTGGAAATACACACCGGCATCGGCGAGTGGAGTCTTCTGACAGAGTGCGGTTCGGAGTTCCTTATTTCCATAAGCGATATAGCTCATTTTCACCGTTTGTACAGTACACACAACACACACTGTAAATAAAGACATAAACGTTCCGTTATTGAGTTTGTACCCTGTTTTGTACCCTGTTTTGTACCCTGTTTAACTAAAAACACTAAACAGGGTACAAACTCAATAACGTTCCGTTATTGAGTTTGTACCCTGTTTAGTGTTTTTAGTTAGTTTGTTTGTTCGTTGTATCACAAAGGTGAAGTTGTGTTGTGTGTGTGCAGTTGGTATGACAGGGTCACAGATCATTTTCTGCAAAAGGAGTGGAGGGCATACTTCATATAATAAATGTGTGTTTCAGTAATATTTGAGAATGTTCAGAGAATGTTGCTATTTAGCACTGTTACCTGGGCCAATGTTAAGGTGCTGCTCCTTTCAGGGAAACTTATTTTGAGAGAAAATCAGTTCTGGTGGTGTAGACACAGTTCAGGTGTTTAAACCCATCTGAACATCTTTGAGGTGTTTTTTTGCTGTGGTTCTATGGCATGGGTGTGGTTGAAAAACTGCTTCAATTAAATGTTCCTTTTATAAGTTACTGCCTTGCTACAATATGACAAATTTTATGATGTAAACTTAAAGTGAGCTTCCTTTGTTTGAAAGACCAGCAGCCGCCACTGGTTTCAGCCCTTCAGGCTGGAACTGTTAATAAAGATTAAAATTTTTGTATATTTTTACTACTACATATAGATTTGCTATGTTTATTTATGTTAATCGAATAGGCAGGTAGGAAAGAGAAAATAAGGAATAAGTAGGCAGATGAATATAGATTAAATATGTACAAGTGTATGGTTCAGTATGGAGTGGTGGTGTATTGTGATGTTTAGAAGATGGTTGTCATGATGTGGACATATGATCATGTACGTGGCTTTAGTTTTGGGGTGAGTTATGTTTTACATTTAGATGAAGGTTTCCAAGGTATCATTAAAGACTGATATATTGGTGTTTCTGTAAGTTGTTATTCTCTCGACTGGAACAACCTGCTTACAGACTTTGAAAAAGCATGTTTTGGCCATTACACAAGAATTCATACACTAATTATGACAAAATTTCATATAAATGTCTATTTGGACAAAATAATGAAGTGATGACATTTTATACAAAAGTTAAAGGTCAGCCTCCCTGTGACATCCTAATATGGTCCAAAACCACTTTTCTGTCCATTATTTAACATCATATCTCAGGAACAGACGGGGAAATATTTGTCCACTTTGAAACTGTGCTGATTGTATAGATCTTCTGTGCTATCGGGGGGACGATGTGTGTTGAACATCCAAGTTTTCTCAGAGATAGATGTAAACTGTAACTGCAACTTGACTGGTTCATGGAGGCATACAACCATGAGGCTGTAATTGTAGTGATGGCCTCATGAAGCCTCATGAAGCATTTTCTTTCTTTTCTGAGCCCACTAGGTGGCACTCTTGATTGAAAGAGAGAGGCTCAAAGAATGGCAATTCAGTGTGTTTTAATAAACCTTTTGTTTATGTAACTATAGTTTTATGTATTATTGCTGCTAACAGACTACCTCAAAATCAAAACAATGTAACCTGTGGCATAATGCACACGTATAGTGCTACCTTTGCAACATTTTCAACTTAAATATGAAAGAGATTGTGCCACTAATAACCTCAGCTCTGTATTTCTTCCTGACAGACTGCCAGATCCACTTTTATTGCCCCAGCTGCCTCATTGAGTTCTTCATTGCTGTGCATAATTCTTATTGCACAATCACATTATCTCCAAACTCCTGTCACTGTGATGTCTTGCATGCACCATGATTAAATTAATTCAGTCAATACAATGGAGTGGTACACCAACCGTCAGAGCCAGCTCTGTCCACAGCTGTAAGGTGTGTTTAAGTGAAATGATAAATCAACACTGAGGCAAATAGATTCTGCTCTGTTCTGTGTTTGCTGGAACTCTCCAGTTTATGGTACAACTGGCTGCTCCCCAGTTTCTGTTGTCAAAGCCAACATGACTGTTTTGAAGTTAGTTGGGTTGAAGCATTTAAAACCAGTTGAATGATGTATTTCTATGAAATCTTTGATCAGAGCTGATGTCAGATATCTGTGAATCCTCTACAGGATGGCCGTGTGTCCTTCATTGGCCACCAGCTGGGCGGTGTGTCCTTCTCACCCAACAGCCGTGACCAGCAGGTCAAATTTGCCCGCGCTGTCCAGATCACCTACTACCTCCGCAACCATGGCCCAGTGGTGCAAGATGCCATTGCTGAACGCTGGGAGAACGAGTTCTGCGCCCTGGTGAGCCGACTGTCTACGGCCGAGGCGCCCCATGTGTCTGACCAGCTCCACATCCAGTCACTCACCTCCTTCAGCCTGTGGCGGGACTTCCACCAGACGGGTGTACTGGCCAAGGGGGAGGTGCTGGTGAGCCTGGTGCTGGTGCTCCTGGCTGCAACCATCTCCAGCTCTATGCGGGACTGCCTGAGGGGAAAGCCATTCCTGGGCCTCCTGGGCGTGCTGACTATCTGCATCGCCAATGTGACAGCTGCAGGAATCTTCTTTATATCGGACGGGAAGTTCAACTCGACACTACTGGGGATCCCATTCTTTGCCATGGGTGAGTGTTAGCAGGGGTCATGACTGACTGACTGTGTGTTTTATGTGTGTGTGTTTGTGTGTGTGTGTGTGTGTGTGTGTGTGTGTAGTGATTGGTTAAGGGGTTTATCAGGGGTTGACACTCACATTGGGTTGATTGGGAAAGGGATTAATAGAACTGCAATGGTCTTTTCCTCGGAGACAATGCCGGCAGTTCATTGTAGTTGTTACAAAATAAGGAGAGTGGCGTGTGTGTGCGTGTCTGTGTATTAGTGTGTATCTTGCAGCTGCATTTGTGCTGCACATTCCTTTTGTTATGCAGTTTTGCATGTTATTTTACAAATGATTTTTGCATTACAATCACATTCAGTTGTTGTGCAAGGTTTTATTCTTATTTCACTGAGCTTCAGCTGATGTTTTTCTTGGTGACGTGGATTTATTAATAAACTGTATTACAATGCAGTAGAGGAGGAACACAAGACAAACATATATCAGAATCCCACAGTACTGTATGGAAAACACCCCCCTTCACTGGAATTTATTACAAATACAAATGGATTCATTTATTTTTCTAATTTTCATTTGTCATATTTCAGTGGTCTCACACACACACACATAGAGGCAGAGACAGAGAAACAAGTGCTAAAGATATGGTAAGGTAGACTAGAGTAAGCAAAGAACATGACTCAGTGATTTGTGCATAAACTTGAACTGATAAAACATTATAAACATGACAGACAGTAGCACAGCCATGGTGCTCAGGGAAAAGGCCTCAGGTACTTGAGCGGTGGGCGTGACTTGTGAAGCTGAAGGTGACAGTATGGGATGGGGATGAGGTAGGGAATGTTCAAAACCCTCTGACTGCTTTGACATTTTTTCAAACAAAAATATGCCAATGTCCTGTCAATGTGATATAAAAGAGATGATTTCTACATCCGTTTACATTTATTATTAAATGGAAACCAAAAACTGTATTATCGTAATTTTTTTTTAGTAGTGATAAAGGCATTAGATTGGGCTTTGGAAGCACAAATCATTTCTGCGATGACTCACTGGAAAATCGCAGCCTTTTAAGGTTTTTATTTTGCCTGTATTAGGTAGGGACAGTGCAGATACAGATGGGGGAGAGAAGAAGTGCTGTAACATACAGAGGTCTCCCGTTAGAATTATTCAGGGAATGTGGCAGTTGTATTTTAACTACAAGGTCCCGAGAACATCAAGGGGTCCCTGATAGGATTCAATTCAAATGACTTTTTAAATATTTTGGGATTTAAGTAAATCAATACATTTTCCCTTCTGAATTGCCTTGTGTTTCGAGCTTCTTTCAGCGACTTGAGTGACTGTCAGTGCACACATTGGGTCTCATCCATGAAACATGAGCAGAATGAATTTTTGTGTACACTGTTCACAGAAGGAAATTGACTGGTATTTTTGCATTCATCAGTGTTGGTAGCTCTTTTCTTTTCGTAGGTATTCACAAACTCTACACCTTCTTCTGACTGCTCGAAGATCTTGTTTGAATAAGATATTGCACATAAATATTGCTTTCAATCATTAGAAATAATAATTTTAGTTTGTATTGTGTTCTGTTATTTAGTTTTAGTTTATTAAGGATCCCCATTAGCTGGTACCGTAGTAACCAACTAGTCTTCTGGGGTCCACAAAAAAAAAATACAAAACAATCAGTCATATCATATCATCAACAAAAGATCACATGCATTTTACATTTAAATACAATTATAATATGCCTAATGATGGGGCGTCGGTGGCTTAGTGGTAGAGCAGGCGCCCCATGTACAAGGCTGATGCCGCAGCGGCCCGGGTTCGACTCCAGCTTGTGGCCCTTTGCTGCATGTCATTCCCTCTCTCTCTCCCCCTTTCACACTTGTCTGTCCTGTCCATTAAAGGCCAAAAAAGCCCTAAAAAATATCTTAAAAAA